TGCGTGCGTGTGTGTGTGTGCGTGTGTGCGTGTGTGCGTGCGTGTGTGCGTGCGCGCGTGTGTCTGCGTGCGTGTGCGTGCGTGTGTGCGTGCGTGTGTGTGTGCGTATGTGTGTGTGTCTGTCTGTCTGTGTGTGCGTGCGTGTGTGCGTGCGTGCGTGTACGCCTCTGTGCATATAATGCGATTCACTTTTTCAGTCGAGAATTCGTGAAGCCGGAATCGAGTTACCTGAAGGGTCAGTCAGTGTACCGCAGAGGTAGGTAACAGATGTGCAGTAGGAACTAACCTGGCACTCAATGCATCGCAGCATTAAATAATAAATGGGTAGTTGGATTTAACCTGACATTTAGTGTACCGTAGAGGTAAAAAAACACATGGGTAACGGGAACTAACTTGCTATCCAGTGTTAACGTAGGGGTAACAGATGGGTACCTGGAATTTACCTGACAGTCAGTGTTACTGTAGAGTTAAGTAACAGAAGGGTAGCTGTAACTAAACTCACATTCTGTGTATACCGTAGAGGTTAGTAAAACCTGGGTAGCGGGAACAAACCTGCCACTCGGTACATTTAAGTAACAGATGGGTATACCTGGATCGGAGTAGCAGGATTTAACCTGACACTCGGTGTACCGTAGAGGTTAGTAACAGCTGAGCAGCAGGACGCGGAGGAGCAGCTCGCCAGGCAATCGATCGACATATTCAACCTTTCGTTCTTCTGCCCTGTTTGTCAATATTAGCGAAACGCGTTAAAGAATAATAATGTTAGGTTAACTGCATTTGGCTGCAATGTCTGGCAGACGGTGAAGACCGTATGCTGCAGAGAAACGCAAGTGTACGCAGGATATATAGGCAGAGAACAGAGAAGTGAAATTGATTTCTCGCTTATCAAGTTTTGTCGAGGGAAGGAGAATCCATGTGGCATTCTATGGCCTGTTGTTGTCCGTAGAAAATTCGTTTTTACGTCGATATTGCGCAATATTTGCGCAGGCATTCGAAATGCAAAAACAGGACGTTCCTTACGAATGTCTAACTTATGAAATAAATCAGCAGTTAAGTCGTGCAGTAGAAATATCTACGACGCAATGTAAATTTATTTAAACATTATAACTAGCTGCCGGTAAAATTGTCATATTCCGAACGTTCGTGTAAATTGCTTAAAATTAGCCTCGCCGATATCCAAGATGCTAAATTTCAACATCTAGGTATGATTACTATTTTATCACTATCGCCATCATCATCGTCGGCGTCATCGTCGCTATTATTATCTGCATGAAATCGCACAGGTTGCTATGCGGATATAGAACGTTTACGATCCCCTGTTTTTTCTCTCTTTTGTTTATCAGGCAGTTGTCCTCTGCCGCCAATCTCACAGCGTAACAGTTGTGTAGGACTTTGAACAGCTCAGCGGAGACAGACGAGTTTAGGGTTACTCTAGGATGCACCTCGCCCCGTGTGATCACGCTACTTGATTCGCATTGTGAAGCCGGTTGATTGGTGATCCCTGTATGAAGAAGATCGACTGCGCTGTGGAAGCGCCATGGCCGCCGAGATAGCTGACCATGTAACTGTGCGCGCCTCTATCGGCGGACATGTGAACTAACGCACGCCACATGCTCGGTGCGTTTAAAACAGTGTATTTTTAGCGCGAGAAATCTTAAAGGAAATTGCTCCATTAGTGTTTCGACCGCTAATCGCGCTGGCTATTGTATTTTATACGACGTTTCCACGCACGGCAAGCGCCGCACCATAATAGAACGTGCGTTACTGACGGAGATACTAAACGAGTGAGCCGATAGGCGGACATTGTCGAACTCATGATCGCTTAGCTTATAGCTCGGGAGAACCTATACCTGCTGTGACATTCCCGAAACGATTCCAACGACTCAATACATTCTACTGCGACGCGAAATGACTATATAGAAGATATACATATAAATTATACAAATATGTCGCAGCGTATTGAATAAAGTAGTAACGCAATGGTAAATGTATAGAAATTTCATGTAATAAAGTTGTAAACTTTCATTAACGGGGTTTTCTCGTCTTGCTCTATAAGGGGATTTGTTGAATATGACGTGCAGAGTTTTTGTTCAATTATATATTAACACAATTCGACAACGTGCTGAATGTGTCTAGTGAATGCGACGCTAGCAGTGTCGTGTAAAAATCTAAAAACCTTTTCTACTCGTCCTTTTATATAAGCAGTCATTGTCGGTTACGGAGCGGTCATTTTGTTCGCGGGCATATCCCTAACTCGAGACTCTAGAAGAGTTCTTCGTACGTCTACGTTTTAAGCTACACCTGATACGTGCTTACTCGACATGCTCGGATTATATGTCTGTAGGGTACCTTCATGAACAAATCATCGTCAGTTGTGCTGGTACGTCTTGAATTTCGCGAAAACGAATGACACCTGAACCGAAATGTCCATGACGCAACATGGCGTCACGTCAGAGGGTGTTGTTTTTCTACATCTCTTGCCCAACACGGACCGTCCTCCGCTGACGTCACTTGCTGGAATGGCACAATTACATGACAAGAGCAACCTCACTTCTAATGCTTTCTAGACGTCTACAAGGCATCTAACATGCGTGCATAATGCAAATTAGTGCACTCTATAGTGCTGAATCTTACCGCAAAATAATGTAAAAAAATGCCTTTTCTAGGGACCAAATAGTGCAACAGAGAGAACAATTTGCGGAGGCTTACTGTTATAATTACGCACTCTTTAATCACTCACAATTAGGTTGCGGTTCGGCAAGCAGCATCTAGTGTGGTTCACATGCTTCCTGTTTGCGCGGGTAGAGAAATTAACGTTCGCGGATCGCTGTCACTCGACTCCGCCATCTTGGCGATCAAGTACGCTCTCGCGAAACCTAATTCTCTAGCGCTTACTAAGCAAAGAGCGAAAGAAGCGAAAACAGGTTGCGCGACTGGCTTTGTACGAATATAGCCGATAACGGCCCGGCGTTACGAATATCTCGTTTTCTGTCACAATGGCGTACGCCAAGAATGCGTATTCGCACCACAAAGGGTTGGTTTACCGAACAGAATTCCACTGAAATCGTTTGATTTGTAAGCGACAAGCACAACAACCATAGAAATAATAATAGAAAACCTATCTAACTTAGTCTATCTATATTATTTCTATGACAACAACGGACGGGTCTGCTATCTCGTGCTCTCACTGCAGATTGAGGTTCCATTCATGTAGATTTCCACAGTCCTTATATACGAATCGGACGCGACTGCATTCGGTTTCACAAAAGGCATAGAGAAACCGTCGAGTTTACCACGCACTGCCCATTCACAGAAACCTCGCACCGCTTTTGCAATGCCTGACCCTCCTCTTCGACGAATAAAAGGACGGGCGTCAATAAGAGGAAATAAATCGATTCTCTTTTTCCCTCCGTCTGTATAGCAACGAAAATGGCGGCTACGCATGCTTTCCTGTGTTTCGTGCGTTTCAATGGCGTCGAACCTGGCACGCTGTGTACACACACACACACGCACGCACGCACGCACGCACGCGCGCACGGCACGCAAGCACGCGCGCGCGACGCACGCACGCACGCACGCACCGCACACTCACACGCACGCACGCAGCCACGCACGCACTCGCACGCACGCAAGCACGCGCGGCAGCGCACGGCACGCACGGCACGCACGCACACTCACACACACACGCACGCACGCACACTCACACACACACACACACACACACACACACACACACACAACACACACACACACACACACACTCATTACACACACAAACACACACACACACACACACACACACACACACACACACACACACACACACACACACACACTCATACACACTGCTATAATAAACACGTACGCGCGAACGCGCAACGCTCCTAATATAAGCGCATCGATTTTTCGTAGTCGTACGCGATCGTCAACAAATTAAATTGTTGCCGATGCGCGTCCGTACGACAAAACCCTATACACGCACAGGTGCACCTGACGTGTTGCGAATATGCGTAAAAATAGACGTAAAGTTGTCGGTTTTTCCTCATCCGTTTTAGCGCGAAACTAGTCTACAGTCACCGCACACTTCGCGCAAGGTGCTGCTTAACCTCGTTCGAGATTTTGATTACCTTTCCATCACTCAGTTCTGCCGCTATCGCAGCGCCATCTATCGTCGCTCGATGTAAATTCGCGCGTCTACAATATTCGGCAGCACGACCGAGTAAACAAGGAGACCGGCAAAAATAGAAAACAAGAAGTCAGAAAGTTGATGAGTAAATTTGAGCAAATTTGTATCACGTAGTGGGCATGCAGGAAACTCGCGTATCCGGTATGCGTGTATGTCGGTATACTGTCTCTAAATACCCAAAGCTACGAGTGTATATTCCAAAAAACATGTTTCAGTGTTATGCAAGTGAGATTCCACGCGCATACGGAAATAACGTGAGAAATAAAGTGACGTGGAGATTACATGAAGAGAGAAGAGTTATTTTCTTCTACAAAATAACAAAAAATTTGTGATAATGCGAAATATCAGTAGATCATAGTATACACTGTACACATTTATACACAGTAGAGCATAGTGCACGCACGCACGCACGCACGCACGCACGCACGCACACACACACGCACTCACAAACACACGAACTCACCCACCGCCTCACTTTCTTTGCCGAAGTGGGACAAAGCCTCCCGGCATTATTGTGGAATATCTATATATATTCATACACCCCTTTCGGACCGCTGCATGTAAGCATGTATAAGCAGCCAAAGGCCCAGCAGCTACATGCCACCATTCAATATAGAAAAAACCCAAGAAATCGAACTGCCCTTTGCTTGGCACGCGAATACCTTACCGCTATATCTTATCTGCTTGCCTCTTTGAACCGACGGCCTGGTGCAAACATCGTACGTATCAACGATCTGTTCTCACATATGATCAGATTTATTTCGTAACCCAGCACCGCGCGCAAAACCCGCCCGCGTGTATACAGTAGCCAACA